TTTATAAAAACTCTCTCTCTCTCTCTCTCTCTCTCTCTCTCTCTCTCTCTCTCTCTCTCTCTCGGGTTGTATTGCGAGGAGAAAGGATAATCTGGAAAGTAAAGATCGTCTTGTTCTTAGAGTCATCTGGACAGTACACGAGGAGAAGAGAGAAGCTCTGGAACTCGAAAGGCTGTTCTTTTGTCTGTCATCTGGAAGGTACAGACAGAAAAAAAAAGAAAAACAAAAATCCTGGAAACCGGAGGCCGTTCTCTTGGCTGTCAGCTGGCGGTGATGGAGGAGACAGAGAGAGCGAAAGAGAAAGAGAGGAATGAGCTCTTGGACGCTGAAGGCCGTTCTGTTGGCTGGCACCTGGACATTCCTGGAAAGTATTACGTCTCGCGCTGGAAAAGTCTTGAAGTCTGGAACGCGTCCGCTTGTCCCGTTGTTCTGTGTTATAGCGTGTAATAGTGGCGCGGGTCAGGGTGGGTCACGGTGGTTATGCCTTCTAGTGTGGCGTCTGATGATGTGGTGCTGGTGTTGGTATTGGTGCTGGTGTTGATGCTGGTGCTATTGTCTCTGGTGCTGTTTCTCTTATTCCTCCTAGCTGTTCCTCTCGCTGTTCCTCCTCCCGCTGTTCCTCCTCCCGCTGTTCCTCCTCCCGCTGTTCCTCCCTCCCGCTGTTCCTCCTAGCTGTTCCTGCCTACCGTGTGTGTGTGTGTGCGTCTCTACCCTCCTAATTGTACAAGGTAAATTCTCCACTTTTTAATCTAAGTAAGCGAAGGTCGTGTGATGTAGAGCAAGTTAGCGGGAGTTTGGTAATAAGATCAGGGAACTTGCATGCCGTTCCCGCCTGGCTGCCCGCGCCCCACCCCGCCTCACCCCACCCAACCCCACCCTATCCCTCCCCGCCCAACCCCACCCCACCCCGACCCGCCCTATGTTGCCCCGAATTCCGAGTTACGAGTCCTATCTCTGTCTGAACTTAATTAGATACAACTTTCTTTTCCTTCTTTCGTGCTTGATAAATCCTACAGATGGAGCATTTATTGAGTATTTTTTTCCCTTTGTTATTGTGAAAAAGATACTAACCTTTTGTTTTGTATAAATACCAAAAGGCTGAGAATTTATTGAGAATTATTTTACACGAAACTAATAAATTGTTAGTTATTTCCTTCTCAATGTGACCATCAAGTAATGAAAACTGGGTAATGTATGTATAGAGAAGATCTTAATTGAATAAAATAAATTAATTCGTTTACATTGAAGAGAAAAATTAAGGTAAGTGAGCCATAGGTAAGGATAAGGGGTTTGAGGATTAAGATAAGGGTGTCATAGGTAAGGATAAGGGGGTCGAGGATTAAGGTAAAGGATCGAGGATTAAGGTAAGGGTGTCATAGGTAAGGATATAGGGGTCGAGGATTAAGGTAAGGGATCGAGGATTAAGATAAGAGTGCCATAGGTAAGAATAAGAGGTTGTGTACTTACCTTAATATAAACAAAACACATCCATTAAAACCTGAAAATGTATATATAGGTCTTGAAGAACACGCACCTGAAGAAGACCTGCCGTGTTTCTTAGGGTCACTCGGGATAACAACCTTCTCACATCTGACGCGGGCTGGGGATCGATCCGGGGACATAATAGTGAGAGGCACGTGCGTTACTAGTGTACACCAACGACAACAACAGATAGTAACGTCCAATAATAAAATTTGGTAAGGCCATACTGTAACACACACTAACCAGAGTGAGGGGGTTGCGGGTAAAGCCAACAGTAGACTCGGGATAATAAAGAAAAACTACACTGTACTTTTATATATAAGGAAATATTGGATCGTCGTATTTGACACTATTGAGACCCTAATTGCATATGCAGATCAATGTTGGTCACCTTAAACTATTTGAAAAAGTACCGCATAGAGCAACGAAACAACTCCCAGATTTAGCAAATGTTTTCATTGAAGACAGATGCAAATTGTTGGGTCTACAGATAGTACAGTAGCTAAAATAACTATCTGTGCAGGTGGGGGTCGATATGTTCCGAAATTTTACGTGTGACTAGTGACAGCCCTCATATACCATTATTTATCGTCCATTGTCTCATATTGTTTCCCACAAAGTAAGCACAGACAGTTGTTTTAGCTACTGTACAAGACAGGCGAGGGAAGGAGGGGGAGGGGGGGGATATGATTGAGGTTAACAAGCTTCAGCATAAATACGAACACAATCACTTCTCAGAAAAAAATCCTACGCAGCACCAATACTCTGAGAGGCCACCTATTTACGTGAGCTCAAGCTGAACTTTGGAGAAACAATATGAAAGGAAACTGGTTTGCTTCTTGGGTGTATTGTATCAGCGCCCTCTATTGTCACATATAAATTAAGATATGGAAAATAGTTTGGGTTTGGCGTAATTTAAATCCCAACCATGTTCCCGGAGGTGGGGGGCATTAAAAGGAGGTTATGTGTTATTCTCTTATTACGAGGTAAACATTGTAGGTCATCAAGATATGGCATCACATCATTGTTGACACCATCCGTCAAGGCAACACTACTTTAATCAAATGAGCGTCTGACCACTATATATACTTTTTTTTTTCATACATGTCTGAAAAAGGCAAGAGAAAATATCACATAGAATAAATAAAAGATAAAATCAGGAGGATTAAGCTTTTAGGGAAATGAAAACTCACCCAGATAAATACTGAAGGACAGACTCGAGTCGTTTGTTTACAGTCTGATCTGTTTTGGTGGCGACGTTGACTCGGAACTCGGCGGTTGATAGAGTTTGTTCCTCTTGTACGTCTGTCGGGGTTTCCAGATATACAAGTAATCAGTTGATGTGGCCACGGACGCCATCTCTCCAGAACTGTACCCTCTCGGAGCTACAGTCTTGAGGTAAATAATGTAATCGATAATTGCGTCTCCTCTAGTAATTCACCTTAAGCGCCATCTTGGAACTGTGAGGAGGTTACAGGGGGGAATTATTTATGACTAATGTAAAGTTATTTTAGACGATGTTGGGCTAGGTTGATTATGTCAGGTAAGGTAGGGTGTGTCAGGTAGGGTTGATTATGTCAGGTAAGGTTGGGTATGTCAGGTAGGGTTGATTATGTCAGGTAAGGTTGGGTATGTCAGGTAGGGTTGGGTATGTCAGGTAAGGTTCATTATGTCAGGTAAGGTTGGGTATGTCAGGTAAGGTTGATTATGTCAGGTAAGGTTGGGTATGTCAGGTAAGGTTCATTATGTCAGGTAAGGTTAATTATGTCAAGTAAAGTTGGGTATGTTAGGTAAGGTGGTTGGTGCCAGGTGAAGTTGGTGCCAGGTGAAGTTGGTTATGCCAGGTGAAGTTGGTTATGCCAGGTGAAGTTGGTTATGCCAGGTGCCAGGTGGTTGGTTATGCCAGGTGAAGTTGGTTATGCCAGGTGAAGTTGGTTATGCCAGGTGAGGTTGGTTATGCCAGGTGAGGTTGGTTATGCCAGGTGAAGTTGGTTATGCCAGGTGAGGTTGGTTATGCCAGGTGAAGTTGGTTATGCCAGGTGAAGTTGGTTATGCCAGGTGAAGTTGGTTATGCCAGGTGAAGTTGGTTATGCCAGGTGAGGTTGGTTATGCCAGGTTGATCACGTCAGGTTAGATTTACTGGGTCAGCTAAGGGACACACAAATACATAAAAAATTAACTCTGTAAACCAGACACACAGATAGCTACAGTAGTCAGTGGTGTAGAGGACGCTGTAGCTTAACCACTGTAGCCAGGATCCACTCTCATGACCCAGGTAACTCCCCACCACCTGTACCAGACGTTATAATGGGATAATTACAGGTTAATTAGTGTACGGTAGCCGCATCATACACCGTGGTTTCTGTCATTTAGTAGGCCATCCAGGTCATTGTTATTTACCTGAAGGGGTGTCGATATTATGACTGACTGGCTGACTGAACGAATTTTTCCTCGCCTGACTCCGCTCCTCATATGGTGGTGTCAGGCTTACGATTAAACTGACCTTATGTCTATTTCAATTTGTTTCTTACACAAAAATTTACATTGTGTGCTTTGTCTTAGTGGAGGTAGCGAATTTAATGGTGGAAACTTAGATTGGCGTGATGAAATAGATTTTTTATAAGGTAATTTACATATCCCATGACAGCTGTATGATTCTTTGCCCATGACAGCTGTATGATTCTAACCCATGACAGCTGCGAGATTTTACACCGTTACAGCTGCGTAACTTTTCCCCATGACAGCTGTGAGACCTTACACCGTGACAGCTGCGTGACTAGCCCATGACAGCTGCGTGACTTTCCCCCATGACAGCTGCGTGATTCTACCCCGATGACAGCTGCGAGATTTTACACAGTGAAAGCTGCGTGACTCTAAAACAAAATTCAACTTTAATACAGATTTTTACGACCAAGAAACTCCTGTTATCTTGTCCCCAAAACTTTACTATCCTACATAATTATTGATGAGAGAGAGAGAGAGAGAGAGAGAGATAAGACAGGTTGGTTAGGTTAAAAGTTGGACAGACAGGCAGGCAGATAGATTGAAATATGGACAGTGGCAAAAAAAAAGACAGAAAGTTAGATTACAATTATTAGAAAACATATTAATAGAGTAACAGTTAGATAGAAAGGTAGAGAAACAAACAGGAAAATAAATAAATAAATAAATAAATAAATACCGAATATATTTTTCATTGAAGCATGAACGCCTCTTGAAATACAGCCGACTCGGAACGTCACTGTTTACGTTCGTGTAAATCCGGATGCTACTCACGAACACAGCCTTCCCGGGAGTCGGATTCTTATGAGTTTGTTTTGAGGAAGGAAAGTTAATTGTAGTCTTGTTATTGTTGGGTGTGTGAGTAGTTGTTGTTGCTTTCTGTAGGAATGGTGGTTGTCGTTTTTATAGTAGCTAAATGGTGATTGTTATATAAGACTAATATACATAATAATAAGAATCTCAGTATACTGTAGCGTGCCATTATATATACCTACACGATCTAATAACTCCTTTAACTAGTCATATATCCTTCTAATATCTGTAAATTATAAACAAAAAGGTTATATTACAACTTACAACTAACAAAAAAGTAATGGAAGTAATATTTCATGAACTAACACGAACGTTAGTGAGCGGTTGTGTATCGATAATTCCCTCCAGTCACGAAACTCTTAAAAAAAATCGTATTTACACGGAGCCAAAAATAGAACGTTTGTATATTCGGGTTTTTTCTGGTGTTTTAGTTCCGTGTTGCTGAGGATCTTTATGTGGTGATAATTTTGAGCTCTCGTGATGGTAAAGTTGATACACAGAACATGGTTGGGTGTTGTGTGGGGGGGGGGTGTGTGGGGGAGGTATGGGTGTGTGGGGGGAGGTATGGGTGTGTGGGGGTAGAGTGTGTGTGTGGGGGGGTTATATGTGGGTGGGTGTACATGTGAGGTTCGGTGCATGTGATTGTGTGTGTGTATCCATATATACAAAAGTAAAAAATTATTATATGAAAGACAAACATAAATAACCTGGATAAAAAAAAATAACTCAAGTAAATATAAACGACCAAATCAGGTGTTAAATTCAACTCTTAAAAAAAAAAGCGAAAATAAATGACCGGACTCTGAACAACTTAAGAGTAAACAACACGAGTAACATTCTACTGTATACTGGGCAAAGAAAAGTAAATGGTCAGGGTAAGTAATGGCTCTGGCCACTTACAGGTGCATTAAGGCAATTGCTCATAAACTTGGCCGCCAGCGTTCCTGTCTGATTTTTAAAGTATTCTCCCTGTGACAGATAACCTGGCCGGGTGGGGGTGGGGGGATTACTCGCGTCTGAGGTGGTCGTCTTAGTGATGTAGTGTTTATTCATGCACAGTCGTCCATAAAGGCGTCGTATGGCCATATTGACAATTAAAGAAAAGACTTACAGGTATATAACAGCCTGGAATATAATACTTGGTTAATGGTCATGTTGGTAGCCCTGACACCTGTTCCCTCGTGACGTAGGTTGTGTCAGGTAAACAGTGTGACAAATGGTGACACTATTATCTTAACCTATCCTTGTTATTTTTCTTATACTCTATTGTTGGATTTAATGAAAGTAAACTCAGTCACTTACATTTCTTCTGGTTGTTTTACGTAAGAGTGTAAATCACATATAAGAACATAAAGAAAATAAGAAAATATGGAGTCTGCAATAGGTCAGTTGGTCTGTGCATGGCAGCTCCTGTCTAGAGTTACAACCACTCTCTATCATCCATGAATCTATCCAGCCTCACCTCACCCCCCCCCCTGTGATGACAAATACAGTAAAATACAACATGTCCACTGTATATTTTCAGCCACCGGCTGCCCAATTTTATACACACACACACACACACACACACACACATCAGCTGACCATCCATCATCTATTGTTAAAATTAATAAAATATTCTCCTCCACCCCCCCCCCTTCCCTCTTCTCCGCCCCTCCTCCACCCCCGCCCCGTCCCCATCCCCGCCCCGTCCCCGCCCCTCCCCGCCATCATCCCTCCCCCAAAAAACAATAAAGAAATAGAAAAATAACTATAAAGAAAAAAATAAGTGGCGCCTTAAAACCCAGACGTGACATTTGACAAGATGTAAACACTGGCGACCCGGTCAATAACACCTGTACTTTGTCAGTGAGTAATTATAGTAAGTCTTCAGGTAGAGTCTCCTGGGCTGAGGCTCCAATGTTTTTGACTGCCTTACTGAAGATGGACGAGGCATCTGTCTCTCGTGTGTGTGTGTGTGTGTGTGTGTGTGTGCATCAAACATACTGTACACGCCAGCTTAACAAACGGTTCAGTACATCAACTTGAATCTCGAGTCGTGTTATCCTAGTGTCGTATCTCGCTTCCTGGTGATTATGACTCCAAGCTATACCACGTAGGTCCTCCATGGTGTTGGGGCCACACACAGCTTAGTCTAGAAGAATACTATATGAAGCACTGTATAGGACCTATTATGTAACCATGCAGGAACCTGGGTGTGGACCTGTGGGTAGACCTGTGGGTGGACCTGCTCTTGGTCTGGTGTTTGTGTATAATGTTTATTTATTTATTTGCACTTGATGATTTTAAATTTTTCATTCGCAAAACTTCGCGATATTTTCCCTGTTTTTCGTATTCGATTTTCCATCAAAATTAGGAAAGTGAAAGAGTTAAAGAGAGAAAGAAAATGAATAAACGTTGAAGGAGTAACTCCCCTCCTTGATTTTCCCTCTTGGACAGCGTCAGCGACTTTAAGGGAAAAAAAAACTTTTACTTTCACTCAACTGAGGAGCACTCAGCGAACACCGACTTGTATATATTGGTGCATCTCCCTGGCTGTTCCCTCCGAGTGTGTATAATCTAAAGCAATACCTCACTGTCCAATGACGCCTTGCCTTGCTCACAGGGGAGGTGACTACGTGTGCTGTAAGTCAGACCGTGATTGGTTAATGTCACACCGAGCGACCCTGCCGCTTCTTGCAACGTTACTGTTCTGCCAGATCTAATATTCTCGACCAAAACAAGTGGTATTAGAGGTAGTTTAAGTGCGTTCAAGAGTGATAAAAAAGACCCGTCTTAGATGGTCCAATGACTACGAACTGTGGCTTACAATGCAGTCATTACTCATACTGCTAGCATGACCCTGAACCAGTGTGAACTTGTATGAGGAGTTTTATTAAATATCTACCTATCTAATGAGCCACGTTGAGCACGAGACAGACAGAAAGGCTCATCTACACCATCTTAAGAACTACCTATTGATGACACTAGGCGCTCTTTATTTATTTATTTATTAATTTATTTGATTTAATTTATTGTTATTTATTTATTCTGGCTGCACACCCACATGTATGTTAGTCCGGGCGGAGGACATTTTCAACACCTATGAACCCGAGACTAACTAACTTTAATCTCCCTTTATAATATTCATACAAGACAGATGTACCAACTATCATCTTCCTCAAAAGAATAATACAATCCCAGTTTATACAGGTCCAATGACATAAAATCACTGTATATGACCAAATTCGACCCCAACCATTCATACTGCCCAGACAAATTCCAAACCTGAGATCCAAACAAATTTGTCATATTAGAATCGATGGTTTGGTTAGATTATTAGGTTAAGGGTTGGTTAAGTTATGGGTACGTCAGATTAAGTTAGGTTTGGTTAAGTAAGATTTGAAAAGGGGTGGTTTAAGGATAGGTTAGATTAAGGGTAAAGGTAGATTAGAATAGGTTTAGTTAGATTGCCTTATGAGTTAGGGTATGAAAAGGTTAGATTAGGTTAGATTTCGTTGGTCTTGGTTGGGTTCTCCATTCATACAACCAGTCCAGTGGAAGGAATCCTCAACATTCAGCCCCGTGTTTTGTTTATTTAATCCTCTCTGAAGCTGCATCTATCGTTCGCGTGACCCGTGGATTACTGGTGGATTTCCTAACATTTTGCTCTGCTAGACAATAGACACATCTCTCAACCTTAAATGAAAGATCTCCCTTAAATATAAATTATCGCTAAAAGGAAGTAACTTTGTAATTACTCCCTTAATTTCAAAACCAACCTGTTACTCGGAAAATTTTAGATGTCTGGGAAGATAACGTCACATATCTCCCTCTGTTGCTTTGGAAATGACATTATATATCGTCTCCTTGATCTGGGGAAATAAATACCTCCATATATCCACCTCTGTTGCTAAGGAAATACAGTCATATGTCCTCCCTCTGTTGCTTGAGGGACATTGTGTCACATCACCCCCTCTGTCACTCGGGAAATACTGTCATATATCCTCCCTCTGTTACATGGAAAGATAACGTCCTATCCCCCCTTGTTGCCTGGGAACCACACATGGGAATAAACAGCGACCATGGAACTCGTAGCTGTAGTATAACTTCACGGACACAAGTTGGGCAATAAAGCTATCCTCTCCTCCCGGGGCGCTGTGCTCCTGGTGGCGGGGTACTGTACCTGGTTGGCTCTAGCATCATGGGAAGGTGCTGCAGTTTGAGGCTCTGTGTGTAGTGTGACTTTCCCTGGCGCCCTTCTCTCCGCCCCCGCCCCGCCCCCTCCGGCTCCCGATCCCCACTCCAGTCCTCAACACCTCCCTGTGTATGTGAGAGAGAGACAGAGACATGACCTTCAAAACACCAATGAGATAGTGCCAGTGCCGCCAAAATGGACAACCAACCAGGAAAAAAAACAGCTCTAAAAATCAACCACAATCAGGCATAACTCTATCAGTTTAGTCAGTAGCAAGGCCGCCATTCACTGCCTCCTCCTAAAGTTCTTCAATTTCCAAACTACAAGTATCAGCCACTTTCCCCCCTCCTCTAATCTTTCTCCTCTTACTTTCTCTACCCCAAAAAAAGGAGAGATGAGAAATTTTGGGGTGTGGGGATGGTTGCGTTAAAAGAAAGATATGTTGGTGGATAGAAAGATGGGTGGATGGTTAGAGACAGACGGACACGTAGATGTAGAGAGAGAGATGGGGAAATAGCTAAATAGTTATGCATAAGAAAAAATGAGATAAATCGCTCAAACACAAGGAAAGGAAAGAGAGAGACTTGAATTTGTGCATCGTCCTGTGAACTTAAAGAAGAAAGTGCACAGTGAGGAGTAAAGAAGACATAGAGGAAGAGAGAAAACACAGAAAACAGTGAGAAGGAAAGGAAGAAAAAAGCAATTTAAAGAAAACAGTGAAGAAAGCAAACATTGAGAATTAAAAGAAGACTATTATGTCATCTGTATAATACTAAAGGAACGTAATAGTTAGGTTAGTCTCGGTGTAATTTTGTATACTATTGCAGGTCGTTTACCCTCCAGTTACGAGGACTAACTAACACACGAATCTCTGTGAATCCGGATCCCAAGTTACTTAAGATTCGTCACAAATTGGCGGGGCGGGGGGGGGACAAAACGACGCTCAAATTACACATCTATTTTATGATGATTAGATGCGTTCCTTCATTCCTCACAGTTACGGGGAGGGGAAAAAAATGACGTAGGAATCTTTGAAAATCTGGAGGTGG